TAAAATCATTGTTTAAACTAGGTAAGCTAGTTGTGGTGCATTTTACAAATGACAAATGGAGTTCTCATCTGAGTTTATCTGATTGCCTTTTAAAGTATGGCTTTACTCTCTTTCAGTGAGTAGACTTATTTTAAACTTTAAAATGTTAACTCCTGTGATAGTTGAATTTTAATCTAGGCTTTGGAAAAAACTGTTTTACTGAAAGGAGCAGATGAAAGTCACTTCCCCCAGAAATAACCAATACATTCAATGTTGTCCCCCCTCGCCCCCGCATGTCCCCCCTTGCCCCCTTTACCCCTGCACACGTGTCTTCCATTTCCCTGCTGCATCAGCATCTCTTGCACTCCCACCTACCGCTGTTCAGCACCTTTCTGCTCCCAGCCACCCTTGATATGATGGCTTAGGCCACATGTCACTTCTGTGATGTTTTGTGCTTTGCACTGCTGCTAGTCTCTCATGCTGATGCCTGTTTAAAGTTTAGGAGGATGCAAGTCCAAATCCAATGTATCAGCTTCAGGGAAAGATTTTTTTATATTTATTTTTTTAATTCTAGTGTGTGTGTGTGTGTGTGCCGTCAAATCGGATCTGATTGGTACAGGAGGAGCTTGTCCCTCCTTCTCCAGCAGAGCATCTGGTGGATTCGAACCTTGTACCTCTGGGATTGCAGTATAGCTTCTTGCCACTAGGCCACCAGCGCTCCAGGGAAAGGTTTTTATCTGAGGCAGTACTCAAGAAAGGTTCTTGCCCCTGAGCTTCTACTCCACAACTGCCATCTTGTTACTTACTGTCTTAACTCTTCCTTTTACACTACACTGCTGACACAGTATAATTTCCAAGGTGAGGGCTAGATCTGAGGACCTGGAACTGAACATCTTGCCTTGGATGCCAGATTGTTAATGAAGTTGGTGGGTTTCTTGGGGAATGGGCATTAACTTGGATCCTTGATTATTAATATCTTGTTTAGCTTCAAAATCAACACTCCTGGCACCAGCTGACAGGAAATCAAAAGATGAATCACACTGAGAAAATCTATTGTCTGAGAAGCGACGATGTCAGTCTAGAGACTAAGGTGTGCCTGACGCAGTCCATGTTTTTTTTCAGTTACTTGCTATGTGTCAGAGAACTAGACAATGACTAAGGATTACAGAAGAAGAATTGATGCCTTTGAGTTGTGGTGCTGGAGAAGTGTCTTGAACATGAACTGCCAAGAAAACAAATAGTTCTATTTTGGAGAGTGAAATAAAGTTGCTCCTGGGAGGCTAGGATTTGAAGATATGTCTCACATATTTTGGGCATGTGGCCAGGTGAGACTGATCCTTGGAGAAGGACATCATGCTCAGAAGAGTGGAGGGACAGAACAGGAGAGAAAGACCCTGGATGAGATGGGGTGGATATCTCGGAGTCAATGAGACAGTCAGGACAGAGCTGTGTTCATAGAGATGCCGTGAGTCACATGCGACTTGACCCCACATAGATGGAAAAACTATAATTTTAGTCCTCTTTATTGAGAATATGAGTCCTAGATAAATCTTATATAGAGATCTTATTCCAAAAAGGTTGTGGTAGAACTTCAGATCCTTTCTGAAAACATGAACAAGGAAGATAATATTTTGCGTTCATGACAAGGACATATATCACTTTCCTGTCCCAGAGATCACAGTGCTTATAGTTTTGGGGATATTCAGTACTTTTTAATTTTGTTATTCCTTATCAGGAAAGAATCAGTCACTGCTGCAAATAAATTTTTCCTTCGTAATGACCATTACTAAATATAGTAAAGCTGATAGCAATGAGAGGATGCACTGTCTCCTGCCATGTGACTACTGTCTTTGTAAACACACTGGAGGCTCAGCCATGGGTCAGTTCCGACTCTTTGGTGCATAATAACGAGCTGAAAGCAAGGTGTATTAAGTGTCTGTTGAATAACTGAGTAATAAATGCAGGGATAAATGAGAAGTGATGGACTCACAGTATTCTTCTGTCTTCCCTCCTTAGGAACCAACAACAAAATGCGTTAAAGTTCCTAATTTGAATCACTCTGTAAAAGAGATCAAAACAGGTGGCCATCTAAGCACAAGTTACCCTAGTTAGAAATCTGATTTTATGGTATGCTAAGAAATTCCTTTTCTTCTTCAAGAATATGAGGTTATCTACTTATATTGCCCTTTGAGACACAAAGGGAAATATGCATTCTTTCTGAAAAAATTCTCCATACTTTTTGAGGCCAACATTTTTTGATGTTATCATAGAGTGTGAACAACCTACAAATTGTTCCTTTTGTAATTTTTTGTTGTTAGGTATCTTCTGGCTGACAATGACTCATATGAGACTTGCTCTCCCCTGGGTCATTCTCACCCTCTGTGATATGCTTCAGACTATGGTTATAGTCTCTGTGTCAGTCCATATTGTTGAGTTTTACTCTCCTTCTCTGACCCTTCCCCTTTCCTGGCATGATGTTTTTTTCTAAGGACTGGTCCCTCCTGACAACATGACCATGTTTTAACCCTCCTTGTCTTTAAGGGGCACTCTGGTTGAGCTTCCTCCACGACAGGCCTGTTTGTTCTTTGAGGGATATGGGATATGATATTTAGTACTCTAACATTACATTTTATAGGCAACAGTTCTTATTTTGTTGTGTTTATTCATAGTGCAACTTTGAGATGCAGAGGAAACTTAGTTTCTGTATCAAATTACTTAAAAATCATTGATTGTAACAATTCTAATCAGAGGGAACCCCTAAAATACTAAGCCACAAAATAGTAAAACAGCATTACCTTATTTTAATTTTGCATGATTTCCAAACTTAGCTTGGAGTGACAGTTCTGTGTGCCTTTTTTTTTTTTAATTAAGGGTATGAGATACGAGACACTGAATTAACAGTAAAATTGAAGAACAAAAATATTCACTATAGTGAAGATATTAGCCTTGATATTTTTGCACACAGTGATTTTTGAAGATATTAACCTTGATATTTTTACACACAGTGATTTTTTATTGTCCTTCCTTTTTCTGCAGTACAAGTAAGATGAGATGTTAGTTACTGCTGGCTGAAATATGAAAATTAAATGAATAGAAAATTTGATGAATGAATGAAAAAGACAGTATTTTTAATATTATATTTTTAAAAGAAAAATGCACACATGCACATCTTTCATGTTGATGATACTCTTTATTAATTTTCTACATATACATACACAAACATTTAGAACAATTTTAGCATCATGCCTAATTCTATGTTACTGTTTTCTCAAGTTCTACTCTAAGTGCAATATACATCCACAATTTATTAGCAATAATTTTATATTAGCAATATATTATAGTGTTTGTACTAAAGCTGCCAAGAATACTCTGTTTTTCACATCTGTAAACAAAAATAGAACAGCACTACATAAATATAGTCATTGCAAAAATACCTTCTTTTCAACTCCTTTTTCTTTCAGGAAAGGAGACATAAACTACTTTTTGTATCCAAAATACATCTTCAATGGGGAAATATAGTTTTCTTTAGGTACATTAAAATATAGCCAGAATGAATTAATTGATTGTCTTTCCACAGTATAATAATTTCTGAAAGGCAGTGGCATAAAATAGCATAGATGAGACTGGAGATTTGGAGGGTTTCAATGTATCTCATTTAGCAGACAGGTTAAATAGTGGTAACTCTAATTATTGTCAGAAATCCACAGGTTAATTTCAGGGGCCTGTAGTGGCACTGGTGTAGTCAGATTTTTTCCCAATATTTTATGTTGAAGAAGTATAGAGAATTGTGCGAATATAATATTGGGTTTTCTATGAGTAACTCTACTTTTATTTTTAACATGAATTGGAATATAGTTAAACCTGCAAAACTTACATGTATAGATGTGTTTTTCCTGTCTTTCTAACAGCAGGCAAAAGCTGAACTACAAACTGACTGTAATTAGCACTAATTAATTTTCCTGGAAAAGATTGAGTTCTTGGTAAGCTTTGATTTGAAGTGGATGGAAGGCGATAAATGGACTTATATGGAGTCTTTTAATTACCAGTCTTAAATTTATCTTGTACAGCAAGATAGCACCCAGGGGCAAGAGGTAATTCGCTTTATAAATCTTAACGTGATTTACTTTATAAATCTTGGAGCTTAGGAAAGTGTAAAACTTTGTCTTTAAGAAGGGTATTCTTTTCCTCTAAGAATTACAGTTTTTTCAAAAAATTTAGTAATGTATTCTCTGTGACCTCTCCATTTCTGTCTCTCCGAAACATATTCTAAGTGAAACCCAATTCTTTGCAGTAGCTAAAACCTACCCAATGGACAGGATTATCCAAAACCAAGCTGAGTCTACAATACTAATTAACAAATGGCCCAAGTATCTTTTGCAACAAGTCAACTTTCAATTTTCTTTTTATTAAAAAAATACTTCTGCTAAATGTAAATCTTTCCTCCATATTCTCAGTCATCATTATGTGATTTCTCATTGCCTTATAGAGGTCATGCTGTAATTTGTGCAGTCAACATAGTCTAGGTGGTAAAACCTCTGAGGAACATCAGAAATTAGTGAAATAAGAAAGAATTAAAAAATTAGCTCCACAGTCAAATACAGTATCAATATAATTAAAAGTATGAAGTTAAAAGTTAATGATTTTAATTTTTCCCAAAGGTATAAATGGCTCAAGATTAACACAGAGCACCCTGTATCTGAACTGTGTTAATTTGTGTCTTTCTAGGATACCTTGCTTGCATTACTATGACATCCATATCCTAGTTTTGGGTGTATGATAGAGTTCACAAGTGTAGCAGTGGGAGACTCCATTCCTAGACTGTCTCCCAAAGCAATAGTACCAAATATAACTTTCCTCAGATACACTATGGACAGATTCACATAATAATTTTCTACGAATGATGTGGTCTGCTCCTGGGAGGACGGAGATCACTTTCAATGTGTGATCTTGTCTTTTCCCCAGGATGTGAAGGCTCAATGATCACAATGATGTAGTTACTTCCCATTTAAGCAGATGACTGACTATTCTATGACTTGCAGAGGGATGACCTCAGCAGCACGGACATTTCTCTTGCCTGCTTTATTTCTCTGAGGCTCCTGGTAGGAGACAACAGCGATATCATGGCCCTGTCTTTCAGGGTGCACAGAGGAAGGGTTGATGTTTTGTTTGCTCCAGCACCACTCCGTCTTCATCCTCTCCCAGTGGCGCTTCAGAGTCGCCTGGACCTGGAGGAGGAAAAGCATAAAATTGTTTTCATAGAATTGCCAGAAATGACTCAGGCAAAGCTGAATAGCACACATCTGAGGTTTTCCGAGGTTAAAGTGTAATTTTTATTTAAAAGGGCTACACTGGATGCATTGAGGCTGTGCAAAATATTATGTTGGGGGGAAAAAACTGCCAACTACATGAGTCAATTCCTTTGACTGCCATGGTCAAGGTTGTTTGTTAATTCGAGGGGAAACTTCTCTTTTTTTTCTTTCATGCAATGGATGAAGCATGAGCTCTGATGATCTAGTGGTAAGAAGCTGCACTACAAGCCCAAAAGCATGCAGTTCAAATCCACCAGCTGCTTTGAGGGAGAAGGATGGAAAATCTCCTCCCGTAGGATTTACTGTCTCTGACAATCCACTGGAGGGCCAGCTATGACTGTTTTGAACTCGACATCACACAACAACATGTAACCTTTTGCTACACATTAGGAGAAGTGTTAGCATAATTTTTATGTGCAAAATCCTCTGAGAAGGTAGATTTTATCTAAATTTACACACTTTATAAGCAAGTCGTTGCATAATTATGGGTTTTATGTTGAGTGAATACAAGAGATGGAGAAGTCACTAAAGGCAAGAAGCTCTGTATTTATCTGCATTGGTAAGAAGATGCAGGATAATTGAGAACTATCTATTTCTGATGAGAATCTTGAGGTGTTTGGAACTGAAAAAGCAATTTTGAGAAGTGACTACAGGAGATTCCCACAGTACTAGGGAAGATAATGGAAAATTCGTTCATTTGCAAATAGCATTCTGCTCAAACCCAACTAGGAGTGGGAACCTTTGAAGATCTGAACAGAAAAGAGGGGTTTCTTTGGTCACCACTATAGCCAGAGAGGCAGCATTGAGTGTTTCAGCACATGCTCCCAAGACAGTGTTCTGGGTTTGAATTTCCTTTGTTTACTACATCCTTTTGTTGAACTTGTTAAAATTTTCTTCTTTGGAAAGAGAGGGAAAAAGAAAGACTAATTCAAAGAGCTATTGGTAAGATCTATTGGGATGTTTTAAATCACTTAGGGCAGTGTGTTAGGGAGCTCATGTGTGTATAGTCAGTAGGGGGTTTGCTGCTAGTCTGAAAGAGTGAACCTCTGCCGGTTTAAATCCATCAGATGTTTTGTGAGAGAAAGATGGGCAATTCTTTTCCTATGTGGATTAATCGCCTCCCTGGAGGGTCAACTATTAGTTGTTTTCAACTCAACAGAAATGTTGAGCACTGACTCAGTGAAATGTTTAGTATAGAGTAGAATAGATTTTCTTCTTTTTGTCCATACTCTATTAAAACGGTGACCCCAAAGGATTTTCTTGCCAATGTAGCTGAACCAAAAAGAGTCAATTATACCCTTTATGCCTTATGCCTTATTGTAGGCTAATACATGGCTTAGTTCTCCCTGAAGTCTGTTTACTGGTTGAAAACTGACTCATGCAAGTGTCTTGCCTCTTCTGCTTTTGTAAGCATATTATTAGAACTGGGGCAAATAAAAGCCATAATATGAATAGAGGGAGAAAGATGGGTAGAGGAAAGTGGTATAAGAATAAAGGACTGAGGGAGAAGGAAGCAGTGAAGAGGAGATTGAAAAGGCTTAGTTAGGACTATTTAAGTGCATTTAGTGCTGAATGCACTTAGTATTGATTTGGTTTTTTATTGAAATCCACCCAGTGTATTTCTCTTCCTCCTGGAGATAAAGAATTCAACAAGTGATCTACCTCATACAAGCAACATCCTGAGCCAAAGACAACTGAGGGTTACCATGGGTTCAACATCTCCTAAATATTAAGAGCAATTGCATAGTTAAAACTAACACAAGTTTTTAGATATACCCAGGGTCAAGAGGTAGACAGTCAACAAGTTTAGAGTGAGTTCGCAAAGTACTCAAAGGGAAGAAAATAAAAAAGCAAAAGTTTTAATCTCACTGGTCCTTTAAACAATAATCCTGAGCAGAAGATTCATGGATATTTTTCTCAAACTTTTATTAGATGTTCTCAGGAAGCATGAAGCCAAAGATTTGTAAGTATTTAAATTTCTAAAAAAAAATCCTTATTATTAAAAAGTTTGGAACATTCTCTAGTTGTACTGCAAAACCACAACCTGTAGTTTTGTATGGAGATAACAATCTACTACAATTAGCATACCACGTATATAGAAAATAAGCTTTTGACAGGAAGGTAATAGACACTTCAGTAAGTACAATTTAGTAAGAGTAATCATCTTTCACAATACTATAGGTTGAATCTAATGCTGCATGCACTGGTGACAAGAACAATGTTGATGAGTCTGCTTGGGAAAACAGATTTTTTTAGTTATTCCCTAACATCATCATAAATATTACAATCAGTATAACAATCAGCTGTGGGTTGAAAGCCTCTTGTTTAAGTCGCTCAGGACCTGGTGGGCTGGTCTTTGTATTTAAAAATTGGTTGGGCCCTCAAGCCTGTGACCCTTGGGCCTTTTGTTAATTGTGTTTGAGAAGAATATTCTTCTAAGTAGTATAGCACTGTTCTGTCAGTTTGCTGTATTGAGATAACTTGGGGTTACTGTGATACTGAATGCTGTGCCTCTGGTATGTCAAATGCCATAATGATTATCCATGGTAGATAGTGTTTGATAGAGCTCCCAGATAGAGAGATTTGTAAGCTGGATTGGCATCTACTTCCCAAATAGCGCCTTTAGAAACTCTATAAACATGAGAGAAACAACAATAGTTATAGAATAGGGTTCAGATCTTTTGTTCATAGGGTTGCTATGAGTCTTATTTGACTTGATCACACTTAACAACAGCAGTGGTAGCATTTGCTGCTAAACATATTGACCAGGTAAAGATGTAACCCAAGACAATGAAACTGTATAGGCAATCATGGAAAAGTGTGTGGCTGTACTACATATATCGATAATATTCAGCTTGGAATTCAAGCTACTAGTTGTTATTTATAATATTTTTTTGCCTTTGAGTAAAAATATGATCCTAATAGCCATAAAACTCTACATGGTAAACCATGGACTTGAAATCAAATGAAGTATCTATGAAACCTATGGAAAATTGTAGAATTCTGGCTTTATATAAATAAGTCACATTCTTAAATGAAATGCATGCTTACATCTTTGTTCCAGAAGCAGTAGATAACAGCCACAGAGAAACCCTGAAAGAGGAGGAAAATGAAATTATTTTGTGTACTTTATATTATTCAGTAATCAATATAAATGGACTATTTGGATGGGAACATTTCTACATTGCAATAGCAAGTGAAGACTGGATGAAGATCTAGAGAGGCAGGAAAGAAGAATGACTTGTGACTTATAATGAGTTGGCAAGGTTTCATTTACTTGGATCCACAATCAACAACCATAGAAGCAGCAGCTGAAGAAATTAAATTATGTATTGCATTGGGCAAATCTACTGGAAGGGGCCTTTTTAAAGTGCTAAAAAGAAAGTCTATCACTTTGAAGACTAAAGTGTGCCTGATTCAAGCCATGGTATTTCTGATCGCCTCCTATGTGTATGAAAACGTGGCAAGGTGTAAAAGGAGCAGAAACAATGTGGAGTTGGCTGAGTATGACTTCTATGTGTTTCATAAATGGGAATTTTCCCCACACATTGTATCCATTGAACTACACAAATATCTACATGGTCAAACATGCCACTCCACATATTCTTGAAACTATTTCTAAGAATCCTTGGATCTGATATTTGTTGTAAATTGGCTCACAGACTTGACTCACAGCTGTGGAGTGTATTAGGTAAGTAGGTTGGCAAGTGAGAAAAGCAAAGAATATTACAAAATGCAAGTCAAGGTTTAGTCCAGCAGTCTCAAGCCAAATTAAGAAGGCACAATTCCTAAATTAGTGAAAGTCCAGATTCAGTTAAGCAGTTCAAATGCAAGAAGCCTCTAGTTTCCTCAATCATCCAGCAAATCGTATCTCAGAGCAGTTACAAATCAGCTTTTCCTTCAATCATCCAGCAAGCAAAACCTTTAACTGTGGCTCCACCTCCAGGGTTCCTTTGGTGCACCTTGCCACAGTATCTTCACAGCAGTGCCAGAGTCACTTCACAGCAGTGTTACAGTCTCTTTACAGCAGCACCACAGTTTCTTCACCCTCTCTCCACCACCATGTGTCACTGTATATAATGTGTTCTCTTATATTGGTCCCACAGCTGTTAATGATTTGCAAGACCATGTGTCCACAGTTTAGGTAGCTGGAGACCGTGTCCTCAGCTGGGGCTAACGCAATGGGTAGAAAAGCCAATTTTCAAAGTTTATGACACTACACAAGAATAAGAAAGACAGAAGCCACATATGTATGGCTTTTAAGGAGTTGACAAAGAATATTGGTGATTGCCAGAAGAAATAAATCTATCTTAGCAGAAGTACTGTTGTAATGCTCCTTAGAAGAAAGAATTCTAAGACTTCTTCCAACTTATTTTGAACCTGTTATGAGTAGGGATTAGTTAATGGAGCAAGACATCATACTTGTAAGGTTTGAGAGCCATGGATAAAGAAGACCCTCACCAATACTGACTGATTCACTGACTGCAACAATGGGCTCAAGCACTGCATTTACTGTGAGAATAGTACATATATGATCAGGTAGCATATTTTTCCTGTTTTATGTTGGGCTCCTATGAGTCAGTACTGACATATGATTATTTTTTTTTTCATCAAATCATCTGATACTGTTTTCAGTCCATTGAGGTATGTCCTATATTGCAGAAATACAATGGCTGGTACTGTGCATATCAGAAGAGAAAAAAAGAAGTAATTGGAAACTGAAACTTAGTTTAACAGATTAGAACTGCCACTGTGGGCTTCAAGAGAGGTATATCATAGTAACTACAAACCTTTTCTTCTCTACTCTTATATTTTTTGTGGCATTAGACTCTAGTTTAATGTAATCCAAGACAGGAAACTCATGTCAAGATTCACATTGATTTTAATTGCTAAGGTTTATATGAATTTTCAAAACTTCTCTAAACAAAGCAAAAATAAATATGACACTGAAAAGACTGGGAAAGGAAGGAGAAGATTGATATACGATCATGAGATTAAAAACGTCTGTCCTGTCGTACGTCAGTTTGTGGAAATATGTGTTCTCAAAGTCTGTCACCTGCTTCCTTGATTTTAAAATTCAAAGAATAGGAAAGCAGACAGTGAGCAACACAGAGGGATGCTATACTGCTTCTAAGCCAACCTGGATCCTTTGCAGAAGGATCCTTCTAAACAGGCCCCAGAAAATTTGTCTTCCTGCATATCAGAGATCTAATAACTAAATAAGTAAGTGGACAAGCATTTCATGGGATCCTTACCTGGAAATGAACAAGAAAGTGCATGAAGAAATCATAGATTTGGCCAAGCACAACATTATCAGGCCTCAAGGGAAAGAGAACAAACTGAACGCCCAGTAATGGTGTAAGAATTAGAGCGGCCCGCGCAACTTTTATGTACAAGCGAAATTCAGTCACACGGCTTTCTCGAATCTTGGTTACCAGCACCCGGATGACATCCAGCAAAAAGATCAAATTCAGCTGAAAGAGACAATGTTAGGAGAAACATCACTCAGTAAGTATTACTTATCAACACCAACTGTCCGCAGTTATTGTTTATCCAGTGTGAGGATCAGCTGTACCTTGTGCCGGTGTGGGAAGTTGTACAATTTATTCAGCTTGAGACAAGCTTTATTGTCACCAAAGACCTTTTCAGACTACCAGCAACATTTTCCTTCTTTTCTAAATGAGAACTTTTTTGTTCTTTCTTAGAATTCACCCCCAGGGCAATTAGCTTGTGTTTTTGTTCTTTTCATATGTAGACATTTTTTTTTTTTTGCTAAGCACCATTGAGTTGGCTATGACTCATATTAACCTTATAAACAGCAGAACTGAACCATGCCCTCTCCTGCTCCATGCTGTTATATTTTAAATGAAGTATGTAGTCTTTTGTGCCTTTTTTTTTCATTTTAACATTGTTTTAATCAAGTAACAAAGTTGTTTGAGTGTCTGACTTTTTTTGTTTAGCATACTGTGAGATTCATGCATGTTGTTGCATGCATTTACATTTCATTCCTTCATTTTAAAAAATTGCTGGGTAGAATTCCACCATTTGAATAGAGTTGTTAGGACCCCTCAAGTTGGTTACAACTCATACAGACTCTATGAACAATAGACCTGGATTTTGCCCTATCCTGCAGCATCCTCATGACCTCTGATATTCTTGAGACCATTGTTACAGTCTCTGTGTCAATCCATTTTGTTGAGACTCCTCCTTTCTCCTCTCTTTCTCTCATACACTTGAGTCTATTGCATTTAGAAAGGGCTGGTCTTTGGAAAAGGACACCATGATTGGAAAGATGGAGGCTCAACAAAAAAGATAAGGCCCTTAATGAGATGAACTGGCACGTTGACTGTAACAAAACTGTGAAAATGGATTTAAAAAGCACTTACCACCAGTATTCCCATGATAGGGGCATGGATGATATAAAGCAAATGAGTATCTGTACTCAGCCAGCAGCTAGAAGAAGAAAAAAAAAACACAACAACCCAAAACCCACCGTCAGACATGTCAATACAATGCATAGTAGTGAAGAATATGTTAACATAAAGATAACCACAATACTTACTTGTCATTGAAGTGAGTCACCCTAGCAATCGCATGGATCAAGTTTGGCAACATTGGGACACCTAAAAATGTGAACAAGTCTAAGTCACATCTGGTTTCTTGCTCATGAATTATTAAGAAAATACAACTAGCAGTATGAGGTGTGGGGGAAACAATACTTTTGCCTGCAAATAAGAGTGAGAAATGTACTGCCTGTGGCGAGGTATTTCCCTGATGTTTTTACACAAATTGTCTTTGGTCAAACCAGGTAGAGATGTACTCAACCAGAACATCATATGCTTTCAGACCTCATGGTTAAAAGCATTCACGTACATAAACAGCTTTCACAAATTACCCAGAAAAGTAGGTGCACTATTTACATTTACTATGACTATTACTGTCATTGTTATGTTTTTGATCATGATGATGATTATTACTGAGATCAGAAAACCATTCTCCGAGTATGTGAACTGGGCTTTCGTGGAGAGGAGTTGGGTCACACTGGAGGAAAATTACCCAGGACAGTGGATGTCAGAATCTTCATCAGACCAGTTTAGTATCCACCCACTTCCCTAACGAAATTCTAAATCCTAGTAAAAACTAACTTCAAGTTCATAAGTAGAACAATAGAGATGGGTATTGGTGCTATATCCTGCTAGGTTATGTTTTTTTAACAAACAATTTTTATTCTATAAATGTAATCTAGAACAAATTCTAGATTACTTCTGTATTTAAAATAATATCAGATGTACCCATGAACACTAACATACTATTTAGTTTGATTTAGACATTATACAAGGAGGGTGGTTTAAAATTCAGCTGAAGGAAATACATACCCCAGCCCAAGAGGTAATACAACCAGAAGCCAAGGTTCTTGATAAACAAGGATGCCACTACGAGGGTGTGCAGATGAAGCCCTTCACAAAGCATCCAGTAATAGTTGCATGCCATCATGTACTGGTGGAAAAACTGCAAAACTTTGCACATGGGCTGTAAGAGACAAATGAAGTCACTCAAGGGAAGACATAGGCAAGTAGAGGACAAGAGACAGGCATATACTTTAGCCCTTGTTTTTTAAAAAACACACAATTTCTGAGCAGTAATGGTGTTTGTCTATTTCTCAAGTGCATTGTTTCAAAGTGAGTTTTGTTTTTATTTTACTTCCTGTTTCTTTACCCATGTTTATAGTTAGATGATAATGATGGTGATGGGTGACACTTGTATAAAGATTGTATTATGTAGTCACTGTTTATGTACTATATATATATACTTAATTTTCAAAACTGTCCTGTCAGATAGTTATAACAAATATCACTATTTTACAGCTGAGGAGAATGAATTACAACCAAAAGTTGAAACTGACTTTGGTTCAGTCGTGGCCAACAAAGTGAAATCAGAAGGGGTCTAAAATTGTAAAATGTGGGATGTACCAGAATGTTAACTAGAATAGGAAAAATGATGAATTTCCATCCTATTAAAAACATAATTTCCCTCTTACAAAACAAGAGTTCTGAGTGTGTATTTATGTGTGTCTGTTTCATCACAGTCAAATCTCTTGACCATCAGAGTTGGAAAAAACAGTTTGCAACATCTGCTCAAAGATGAAAGCTGATCACATTATTTTGAATAAGACCATCACCCTGGCAATAAATTTAATCTCTTACATCAGGTTTCTGAAAAGGCTCAACTATGCTTCTTCTTTGTGATTCCAGGGCTTTGATCTATAATATTTCACATTATGGTTACCGTTTCATTTTACACAAATTTTAAAGATTCACATATGAACTGATGTGCTTCATTGGCCATCACTGAACTCTTTCAAACCAGTTTGAAGCCCTGATGAGCATGAAATGAGTAAGTTACCCCAAGTCACACTCTCGTAGGAATTGCAGCTGGTGTTCAAACCAGGCGGACTGTTTATAGAGAGATTGGTTTCTTTGCTATCTCATCTATGAATGAGCCTTGCTCTGGATTTGGTCAGTGGAAAGTGATGGGAATTCAGCAAAAATAATATACTAAGTGTCTGCTTTCAAGGAGCTTACAGCAGAGCTCTGGTGGCACAGTCATTGAGTGTTCAGCTGCTGGTTGAAAGATTGTTAGTTCAAACTCACCAGTTGCTCTGCAGGAAAGAAAATTAAAATCTACAGAGCAATCTCATGCTGTTACATAGGGTTGCTATGTGTTGGAGATTCTCAATAATAAACAAGTGTGAAAGAAGTACAATGAGTATTAGGGTGAATTGAGATTTGTATGGTAGTAGGGTTGGAGAGCATGTTGTTGTTATGTGCCATTGAGTTGAAACTGACTCATAGCTCATCCTGCATCCACAGTAAATTTTTGGAAACACAAATCACTTGGGAGATTTTTCATCTTCCTCTTCTCCCCTCTCCTTCAGTACCATGCCCAGATGGCTGGTGGATTAGAACCAAGGGTCTTTGGATTGGCAGCACAATTCTTTACTAGTAGGTCACCAGAGCTCTCTTGGAGACAATGATGGGAATGAAATCTTCAAGGATGGGCAAGATAGACTGAGAGTTGGCTTCTCAGAATACATATATATTAGGCATTCACTTTTTAAACACTTTATTAAAAAGACAAAGGAAAAAAACAGACTTTTTGTCCCCTAATATTTTAGATGGCCTGAATGGTTTTTCCTGGTGGCTACTAGGATTTGGGTAAGAATAGAAAATACCATGAAAAAGAAACATTTACCCTACACTTATATAGGTTATGTATCTTTACTATGTTTGAGTCAATAAGTTCCATGCCCCAGTTTGAATATGTCAACTCTTAGGTTTGATATATATTTCTGCTAATTATTATGGATTTATTAATGGCTAAAAATAACTATCAAATTACCTTGTAGATTACAAAAAAATAATTAAAATATCTTAGTAAACTCCATGTGGTTATGTCCTACACACATTATCTATTAATTTTCTCATGAGGCCTTTGAGAAGGATGTGAGGAGCCAGATTGTGAATTATTGTAAGGACAAAGTGAAAAGAAATTTTCAAGCAAACCAACTGCTTATCAACAAACGAATGGATAGAAAAACTCTGGTAATTTGTGCAATGGAATACTATGCAGCACTGAAAAATAATACACTTGTAAAATATTACACAACATGGGGGACTCTGGAGGACATCAAGCTGAGTGAAATATCTCAGTAACAAAAGAACAAATAGTGCATAGCACTGATGTTCTAAAGTAGGTCTGTCATTGGGGGTTGGGAGGAGAATAGGATAACAATGGATAGATAATGACCATTGCATTGAAACAGATGAAGGAAAGAACTGTTTAAAAGGAATATATGATTACGTGTTATATGTATGGTAACAACCCAGAATAAGAGGTACATAATTGCAAAGAGGATTGGGAGGGGGGGATAGTAGGTAATTGTGTAACAATGAATGAATATTTAAGAAAGTGAACTGGGGAAGGGGGAAGTGAGGGAGAGGAGTTAAAATGTGCAAGAGTGAATGAATGAAAAATCTAACTTCTCTGTAAATGTTCATTAAAATAATACTTTATTTATTTTTTTCAACATTTGGGTTAAAAGTTTCAGTAATAAAGTCTCGTAGTAGAACTATCACCATGCCTAGACTTGTGTGTGACATACAGGAGGAGATCAATAAAAGCTTACCGAACTGTGGGAACTGAAAGAACTTTGGCCTTCTGATTTCAAACAGAATCCTTCTTTCCATCTGTATGTATTAAAATAGTGTAACTTTCATTTTTCTCTTGTGAACACAAAAATTAAAGCAGAAAAGGGGTTTTTTGATGAGACACTTGGCCAAATATAACTAAAAATTTGAAAGTTTGATGTTCTATTTTGAAATATAACTACTTAATAGATGTTTGGCTGATAGTGAAACAAAAAGCAAAAGATATATGGATAAATTAAAAGCAATATGCGAAGATCTTAAAAATTTATTTACTGCTTTGACTAAAATGTTACTTCTCGTTTCTGAGTGAACAATAGAGATGTGAACATGGAAAACGACTCTTCTACTAACTTTAAATTATTTGGTAACTTCAACTCAGCTGATGATACAATAATATAGTAAGAGGGAACTTGTAGATTTGCTGCTCAAATCCAGTGGGTGATTTTAAAGCAAAATGAAAAGCCTACAAAGAACATCTCTTTCATCTCATTAGTTACACAGGTGAAAAAGAAGTATGTCTGGAAACAAAATCAAACAGTTAAAATCACACACGTCAAGTTATAAAACATGAACAAATAATTAACAATTTAAAAATTAGTTTAAAATTGCCTAAAACTTTGAACTCAATCAAAGCTTCCAAGTTTATTTCTGCCAACTCTTGTCTTGAAGCCAAAATAAATTTTGCTATAGATTCGGAGTGATTATCAGAGGTTGTTGTTGTTGTTAGGTGCTGTCAAGTTGAATGTGACTCATAATGACCCTAGGAATGTTGTTGTTGTTGTTATGGGCCGTCGAGTCGCCTGCGACTCATAACGACCCTATGTACAACAGCCCTAAACTCCGCTCTGTCCTGTGCCAATCGCACTGTCTCTGACACTCCCAACCCAATTAACCCAGTCACTGAATCAATCC